TCTGCTAAATGACTAAATGTAAATGTAAAAATGTTAAATTAAGTAAATTCATCAGTGTTTTACAGACATGTTCTTTTCCTCCCCAAGCTGCTTGTTATGCTGCCTCTGAGAAATTGAATGTTTCTTCTTTTGGTAAGCCATCATCATCCTTATCATAATAAAAAATAAATAAGTAAATAAATAAATGGATTTATGATTTGGAATTATTATAATTTTGGATTCAGCAGAAGTTCAGTTGGCATCTCCACTGTCTTTGTCTAAATTGACTTTGTTCTATTTCTTTTATTTTTCAATTAAAGGAGGAGCATGTGCAGCTTTGGGTATGTCATTAATATTTTTCCTTCCATTAATCTGCACAACCAAAGTAAATTAATCACCCAGAACATTGTTTCTTTGTTGGAATGTTAGGTGACACTGCAAAAGATGCAACATCCTTTATCCTTAACTCAGCCACAGGCTGCAACTCCACAACCAGTGGTCAGAAGTGATTCAACAGGAATCCAGTGCTGGAGATTCATTAGTAGCATTTATATGCTATGAAAGCGTGCTAAGTGAAAATGCATTGATCTCTTTTGCCACCAGTCTTGCCACCAAGAACTTCAATAAAGACTCAATCTACATTCTACTCTTTTAGACTGTGTTGCATTTTATGAACATCAAACTGAAGACAAATAATCTATTATTTTGGTTGAACCTTGTACCATCAATGACAAAGACAGCGCAACAGATCATAAATAAAATCAGGAAAGAACAGCAGAAAATACTCCCCAATGATGACACGAAATGCATGCACAAGGATCAAGGATACAGAAATAAGAGCACAAACTGACACTGAGAGAGTAATAGTTTAATTAATAATAAATATTGAGCTCCAGCTTTTGACTAACTTAACCACTGGGTGGCAGCAATATCACATGAAACCTTTCAACAGCCTGTTCCCTTTCTGACAGTCAAGTACGTGAATGAATGAAAAATGTTTTTATAAAAAAAAAAAAAAAAGGTTTGAAACAGAAGCATTAATAAACAAAATAGTGTCCATAATTTCAAGCCAGCACATTCAAATGTGACTGAAAAGTGTATTTGGAAACGCATTCAAATTAAGTTCATTTTTATATAGGCTAATGGATCCGTAATGTGAATTCCGTATGTAATAGCTTTAACGGAATAAAACGGGTCTGTCAGAAGCTCGTGAGTAGTGCTGTACAATGCAGCTGTAAGATCTTAATTGCATAAGTCGCTGGCCAAGGGAGGGTACAGATGTGGATCTGTGTTTTGGATCAGTGCCGGGGATCTGACAGTGAGATCTGGCAGTAATGAAGGCATGGAGCATCTGGCCGGCTGTGAATGGCTGAATGGTTCAGATGTGAGGTGTGTCCTCTCCCGTGGGACCTGTGAGACTGACGCCGGATTGGATGAGCTGTTGGAGGAGGGCGGGGCGTATGGAAGGCCTGACCTGAGCCAGAGGAGGACGAGGAGGAGAGCCGAAGAACGAGACAAAGGAGGGTGATTACTCTCGTTCCCACCACACCCTGCCAAACCGAGTCCCCGACAAACGCATAATGTTTCACTGAAGACTTTGAGTGTGTTTTAAAGTGGAATCGACGTACATCTACAAAATGCTGTAAAGAGTTAAGGTAGTCAGCTGTATACATGCTGAAAAACACATCTTAAACTAGTTTAAGGGAGGTTTTGCATAGCTGGCCAGGCTGGGAGACCATCTTAAACCAGTTTAGTACAGTGTAAGCTTTTTTTCCCAGCAGTGATTTCATCTGAATTTCAGTGTTTCATGCTATAAACAAATAATACCTTGTACTTTTAATTGACTTTAACATAGCTCACTGGAACAAGCTGTAAGCTTTTTAACTCACTTATTCAAGCATTTTCCACTCCTGGACTCCAACATCCACCCTTCTGTCTGAAGGAATTTTGAGCTTGAATATTTGAGCTCTGTCACAGACAAACAAGTAACACCTAACACCTGTTTAGAGGCAGCACAAAACATGATTTATTCTTAATGCAGAAAATTACAAAACAAGGACAGTTTTACTAAAATCACAATGTGGTTTAATTATATAAAACATGTCCAAAGTAGGAGGTGAAGTATTAAAGTATAAAATTGTTCACAGGCTCTTAAAGTGAGAACAAAGAGAACAATCTGCAAACATACACTTGAAAAAAAGTTCTCAATTTTCTCTTATAAGACTCATCTTTTATAACCAATTATTGAAATTATTAATTATTTAAAAAATATATAAAACACAAACTAATGCCAATTTCTTTCATGTGACTACATTGATACAGTAATTAAATTGTAAGCAAAGTACAATGCAGTTCTGTGTGAGGGGCACAGTAAAATTAAAATGAACATTTTCTGACATTCCCTTCCCTCTTAAATCATTTTTTTTTCAGAGACATGTGCATGTCATTAACTTATATAAATAAACAGATATTTAATAAGCTGCCTATTGAAATGGGTGACTTTCAGTCGGCTTTGTTTGGTCATGCATTCAGATTGATTCATTTATGCTTAATTCCTCAATAGTTGTCATAATAAATTTAAAAAGTCCATCGTTATGACTTGTGTCAAAACAGAAATGAAACCACAAAGATGTTATTCTCAGAGTCAGCTAAACAGCTCTTGTCACTTAACTAACAACAAAATCTGCATTAAAACATGGGTTAAAGATTTCTTACAGTGCATAAAGTGGACACTCAAATTAGTTTGTGATTTTACATTGTTGTTTTGTATATCTGGTTATGTACACAATTCGTCTGAATGCTTCAAATTAACCTTTTTTCCATTGCCATTTCACATTTTAATGGATTATGTATTTACATCCTGAAGACAACAAAACCTATATGTGCAATTTGGAGATATAATGTTGTGAAATATCTGTACAGCACATTAGCTGTAAGTTAATGATAAATACATACAATTGTAACCAACAATTATTCCACTGAAGTACAGTAACATTTTCCAGTCAGAGGTCACCCCTATAACAAATGCTTATCCTCCATCCTGGTTTAGTCGAACCTGGAGACGGCCAGGTGCACATTCACTGGGGAGTGTTGGGCCAGGACATAATCTCAGGGCGGGATACCATCCCGAATGAAGAAGAAACAGAGCAGAAGGAGGCATAAGAACAAAATCTTCTTGCACCTGGAATCTTCTCTAGGACCCCCTGTCTCCATTTTTAGTCTTGAGAACAACTAGGACCACCATAACAGGGATTAGGCATATGGGGGTCATGACAAGGGCAAGGATGATGCTGGAAGGGGGGTCCTTCAGTGCCTCTGTGGGGCATTCTTGAAAATAGGAGGTGTGGATATTCACAAATATGTGTTCAACCAACTGATTTGGCCAGGGAATCAGCAGACAGTCAGCAACAGACTCGGTACACACAGTGAAATTGTTGTATGCACTGCCAGAGAGACATATAGAGAAAGAGAGTCACTTAGAGAGTTATCAAACACATCCAGTATTATATGGCATTTGATAATGCATCCTTAGAATGTACCTTTTTATTTTTTCCAGCGAACACCAGTCGGTACGATTCATGGACCCCATAGCATCATCAAAATTATATTTACACCAGTGCACCAGCACTTCATAGCATTCTTGGGTTCTCAAGGAATTGTTCACACAAACTATACAGTATGTGTCACAGATGCTCATGTTAGCACAGCCTATGATGTAAACGAAATGAAATAAATAATTAACTTTGATATAAGCCAATGTGAATCCTGTCACGCATAATCTTTTAGTGTCACAGTCATGCTGCAGTAATTAGCTTAGCTCATTAACTTACCAAATGTTCCTCCATCTCCATAGGCAGGATCTAAAAAAATAGAAGTACTGTAAATAAATACATACATAAACACATACACATATATGTAAATATCTGCAAAATGTGCATATAATGTGTCCAAACATACAGCAATGAAATGAGACCCCCTGGCTTTGGTTATTAAAAATAATAACAACAAATATAACTTGTTTCAGTAAAAAGGACAAAAAATGATCACTTATAGTATTCATGGTTATTAGATCGTTTGTGAACATGTTGGTCATCTGCATCCTTGAAAGCAGAGATTTGTCATGCACTGTATAGTGTCTAATTCAGGATAAATGAAAGCTGAAGTTGTCTATCGACGCACACACAAAAAAAACTTACCACAGAGAACAGACAGAAAGACGCCAAAGAAGCTGAACGATACCCTCATATCAGAGCAAACGAGCGCTGGCGAGCTGCTCTCAACCCGCCGCTGAATGTTCCTGAACTTTTACACCGAAGAACGCTAGGCATAACAGGAAACGCGACGGGTGGAAGCGTGATGCGCCGTCACCACATGTGGAATCACGGTTACCAGATGTTCAGAAAGCTGCTGACCGAGAACGCTTTCATTTTCCCACGTAATAATTGGTCGTAACTTAAAATATGAAACAAACACGTGTATTTAAAAAAAAGTGTAGGCCTATGAGATTTCAGTGATAAATGTGCTCATGCATGTATGTATTTAACCTATTTATTCATTTACTTTAAATACCATTAATTAACTCTACAACCTATGTCTCACAATAAGCGTTCCCTAGTCTAACGTGGTCTTGAAAGTATTAACTTGCGGTCCGACTGATTCACAAGAGTTTTTGATAAAGAACCGCTTCATACAAGTAGGCTAATCAGTTCAAGAATAGTTTAATTCACTTAAACGAACCGAATAAGAGTCATTCGTTCGGGAATCGGACTACACTATCACTAGTTTTGCACTGTCGATTTACACGACAATAATGTACTAAAAGCAGAAAAGTTTTCGTTCACGTTTCTGAAAGTATACAGAGGACAACATTGTCAAAACGACGTTCACATCAATGAAAATGACTAAAACCACTGTATTATTCATGCCAGGCCAGTAGTTGGCGATGCCACTTTATAAAGTAACACTAAAGAAGCACATAATATGCATGCACATGACCGTTTTCACACATTAACATTTTTGTAGTTTACACAGAGACGATAATCGCATTGTTTTCAAAAAAACTTGCACTTTAAAATCAGTTTTCAAAAGTTTGTGTTTTCAGGCCCCCGAAGGGCCCCCTTTACAGGTTGTGTAAACACCTCCTTAGGGGCACAATTTATGACAATGGTGATGTCACACACATGTGTATTACATGTTCAGTCTAGGCATGCGCAAGTTCTTCACAGCATTTTTAGTCATTTTCTCAGATCCGTGTCAACGGGGATCGTTTTGACAATGTTGTCGTCTGTACGCAAATCTTCTCAAAAACGCGAGGGAAAAACTTTCCTGTTTTTATACATCATTGTCATGTAAACGTACCCTTAGTGGAGGTGTTGCAGTGAGTATAGTTGAAATGTCAAATTATTTTAGTAGTACATGCACGTTCGAGAAAACTTAACCAAGCTTCACAAAAGTTCACCTTCAGTATTTTTGTTTAAATGGAACTGTTTCTGCATAAGAACCGGTGCTCAGTTCTAGTCCTGACTCTTGATATTGTAAAGCACTGTTGTGTTTAAAGATTGCTGTTTCCCTGAGGTGCGGATCTTTTCTGGGCTGAGCACACCCAGGCCAG